AAAAATTAAAAAAAAAAAAAAATTAAAAAAAAAAAAAAAAAAAAAAAAAAAAAAAAAAAAAAAAAAAAAGTTAATTCATGATAATGATAATATAATAAAAAGAATATTAGAAAATAATTTAATATGATTTTGTATTTTTTATTATATTATTTTTAATCTATTTTATGAGCATTAGATATAAAAAATTAAGAGACTTTTTTTTTTTTATTTTAAAATGCAGTGTGAAGAAAATTATAGATATGACTTGATATCTCCATCAAAAAATCCTTGTGTTTTTTGTAATTTTACAACTTACTTGATAATAATTTACTTTATTTTAATCACATTATTTATAACTGTTTCAACAGTTATATGTGTAAATATGTTAAGAGAAATAACAACAATAAAAATTTTTACAACATATATACAATTTATATCACTTCTTAGGTTAGATAAATTTTGTAGGAAAACAACATATTTTATTATATATAATTTGTATATTTTTTTATAATATATATTCTTTTTTTTTCTATAAATTTAGATATGTTAATTCAAATTATGATCACTCTTTTGTCAATATTTTTTATTTTTTTACTATTGGTATACCTTTAAACGAAATTTTAGATTGCATTTTTCCTGTAAAACAGTAAAACACAAAAAATATAAGAATAAAATTAAATAAAGACTTTTAAATCTTAATAAAAAAATATTTAAAAAATTCGTTTTTCATAAGATGATACAAGTTTAATTCACTCAAAATTATTCTTTTTATTTTAGAAAGGAACAAACAGTGATAGAATTTTAAAAAAAATTAATTTTTTACTATTTATGCCATTATTATATTCCTTTTGCTCAGTATTATGCACTATTGCTTTTTATATTTTGAGAAGTATAAAAAAAAAAAATAAAATAAAATAAAATAAAAAAAATATAAAAAAATGAAATATTTGATACTTAAATGTTTTATGTCTAGAAAAAGTATTTACTTTTTTTTTATAATTTTTAGTATTTTATCATCTTCAAAAAATTATTATTTAAATGATTCTAATTAATTATTAACGTATATATCTATATTAAATAATTTTTTTTTTTTTTCTTGTTTATTTTCAGAAAGGGTTGAAGTAAAAATAAATAATGATACATATGAAAATAAAGAAAAAATATCCTATTGGGGAGAAGATAATCAAAGACATAATGTAAGTTTAAGAAAGAAAAAATTTATTAATAATGAATTTCATCAATTGTTTTTAGAATATCCAACAAAAATTAATAAAAAACAATTAATTAAAAGAATAAAAAATAAAAATAAAAGTTCTTGCATTAGATCAACAAGAAATATTGAAAAATCCTTAAACGTTAATTATACTGAAAACACAGAAAAATTAACGAATTATTTTTTTAATAAGCATAGTTTAAAATACCAAGGATTTTATAGAAAACATAGCTTAAATAGGGCAATTATAACAAAAAGTGAAAATTTTAAAATACTGAAAAAAAAAAAAAAAAAAAGTTGCTATAATAAAAAAAGTATATTTTCGGAAATAAATAAACATAAACTTATGAGATCAAATAGTGATAGTTTAAAGTTATTAAAAAAAATAATTCATAAAAATGAGTTAGTAATACCTCACAAAAAGAAAACAAAACAGTTAGACATTGAAAAAAATCATAATAAATATATTATACTAAAATCCCATATGAGTTTTATAAAAACTTATTTGCATGGTTCTCACAAAAAAAATAACAAAAGTTTTACGGAATATAAAAAAAATGAAAATGAAAATGAAAAAAAAAAAAAAGAAACTAATGAAAGGATAGAACAAAATAAACATAGTTCTGATTTATATTCTAAAGGTAAACCATTAGTGAATATAATTATTAAATCTTTAAATAAAGATAAAGAGAAAATAGTTTTTGAAGATAGATATGAAGCTAAAGATAAACAAGATATTAATAATATTTATAGCAAAAATAGCAATACAAAAAATAGTGTCTATAAAAGTTGCAACAATATAAATAAAAAATATGTAAATTACAAAGTACGTAATAATTGTGTAATAAATAACAGTAATTGTATATATAATTATAGAAATACTATAAGTTTAAATAAACAGGAAAACAACATATTTGATCCAATTCAAGAAAATAGAAATATTCCTGAAAACACAGTAATAAATTATAAACAGAATAATTTGATGGGTAATATTATAAATGAAAATAAGATAAAGGATACATTTTGCATCAAACACATGTTAAAATATTTTATTTTATTTTTTATATTATATCATGATTTGTTATATTTTGAGATAATAAGATTATGTATTTTTTTTTTTTTTTGTAATTATGATGAACATAGACAAGAAAGTTTTATAATAATTGATGATTCATTAGAATGTTCCGAAATGAGAAATAAATATTATATTAAAATTCTTATAATAATAATATATAACACATTTATAAAATTTTCAAATCATTTCCTATTGTTATTTAAGAAATATATGAAAAATAATGTGAACATTTTGTATGTTGTGTTACAACTATATTACAAGATAGAAGCATTGAATCCTGCTAACAATTTTTTGTTATTGTTATTTTTAGTTTTATTTTATAAAAGGTTTTTAAATACAACGAATACGTCTCTTACTTATAACTATAAAAATACTTTATATAATCCTAATATTCATATATTTCAATTAACAATTATTATTATTTCACTTCTTATTTATATTTTAATTATGTATTTATATGTATATGAGTTTGATGAAAAAGGAGAAAGGGAAAAAAATGAAATGGCAAATGATAATATTCTATATCATACAAGCTCTATTACTAAATGTAAAGAAAATACAAAATATATAAAATACAAAAGAGACATTGAAAAAGAAAGAAATAATATTAAATCATTTAATGAAAATATAAAAAATGTTAATCTTAATGATCAAAAAGAAATTGTATCTATTTCAAAGGAGAACTACAGATTTAAAAATGATATAGATGATAAAAATAGTGATTATTATATTAATGGTGACAATTATGAAGAAGGAGAAAATAGAAAAAAGAATAGCAATTCTAATAGACATTATAATAATAAGAATAATAAACTTTTGAATATACTAAAAAAAATTGTAGCTAAATTAATAAAAAAAAAAAAAGTTGATAAATTTATTTTTTATTTTTCTCTGTTTGTATATATTACTATATTATTGTCTTATTATGTATTCTTAAGTTATATCTATTTATATAATTTCCTTAATGTTATAACAATTTTTTCAATAATTCTTAATTTTTTAGTTTACTTAGTGATTCTTTTATTATTATTAAATTATTTTAAAGAAGATATTAAAATATTTGTTATAAAAAACATAAATAAGTTGGTTGATTACGTTAATAAGATAAAATGGATTAATTGGGGTGTATCAAAGCAGAAAAAAGTAATATTAAAAAAAAAAATTTCTAAGAAATTGCAAGAATTAAAATTAAAAAATAATGAAATGGAAGAACAAATAGTATTAAAAAAAGAAAAAAAAAGCATAAAGTTGATTAACAACATTTTAAAAAATAGTAAAAATTATCAAAAAGACCAATTAAAATTTGTAAATAATTTTGTATTTGATGAAGGAAACATAAAAAAAAAAAAAAAAAATATTAAAAGATATAAATTATTAAAAATATCAAAAGTATGGGTGTTTTTTATATGTAATATAGTTGATTTAACTGAAGAACCTGAAAAATGCTTGTCCATTCTAATTAGTTTAACATTAGAAAAAAATTTTCATAAATTAACCTTGGAAAACTGCTTAAATATATTGAAGAAAAATCATTTTCCTCATATAAAAAATATATCATTAATTTTAAAAAATTTTCTTAAATATAAAGAAAAATTCTTTAATACATTAATGAAGAAAACATACAAAGATTATGAATCTCTTATTATTTATGCATGGGGTATGAGTATTTTAAGTTATTGTAATTTATTAGATATAGATTATAATCTATCAACAATTTTGTTATACGTTTCAAATATATTAAAAAAAAGTAAATACTTCAATAATATAATGGAACACTATTTAAACATTTTTCCTTTTTTCAATGTAAATGCATATCAGGAGGATATAAAAAAAGATACAGAACCCACAAATATAAATTTTCATAATCAGTTGTTTAATAATTATAATGGATGTACGTTGTATAATTTAAATAGAAATGATATGAAAAAAAAATTTATATATAGTAAGGAATTATATGATAATAATAATAATAATAGTAAAGATTTTAATATAGAGAGTTACTCCTTAAATAAATATGATAATGCTATTAATTTTGATTATATGAATAAAAACTTGTGTGATTCACATTCTTTAAAAGACAAAATATATAATTATTATAATTTAAATAATTTTAAAGAAATTTATTTGAGTAACTTAGATACTGCTTTAAGTAATGCAAATAATTTCGACATTCACTTGAGCAAAAGAATGTTAAGAAATAATAAAAATACTACGGAAATTAATCAATCTAATGGTAATAATGAGAATGACAAAAATTTGTATTCTTTTAAAAAATATTTGAACACTAATTTTAATATGCTAAAAAAAAAGTATCAAAATGAGTCAATGATTTTATCAAATAAAAAACAAAATAATAGAGAATTCAAAATTTTGAAAAACAATAAAACTTATAATAATTTATATAAATTATTTTTAAAGAATAAAACAAAAAAAGATAATAGGGGAAATATGTTCGATATTAATTACATATATTCTATAGAATTATGTAGAATTTATCTTCATTGCTTATTATTAGATGTAGGTGAAATTTACTTTAATATTTGTTATAGATATACATGTGAAAAATATATATGTTCTAATTTAATAAATTTGTGGGATAACTCTTTAAGTAATAATTTATATATGAAAAGATATTTTAAATTCCTAGAAGATAATAAAGAATATGAATACAAATTAAATATTGATAAAAAATATTTGAATAGCAAAAAAAGAGATTCTAATGATAAAATATTAATAATAAATGATTTTTTAGGAAGAAATGTATTAGATACAGATTTTTATAATGAATATGAAAAGTTAGATAATAAAACAAAAAATTACTTCAAAAATTTAATTAAGGAAGAAGATTATTTAAATACTAATGAGTTAATTGAATTTTGTGAAGTATACGATATAAGAAAGATAGAAAAAGAAAAAAAAAATGAAAATGAAAAAAAAAAAGAAGAATTTTTCAAAGTATTCAGTAATGCTTTACCAGTTTTTATTGAAAATTCTGATTATTTAGATATAGATGAAGTAAAATTAATTGAAGAGAAAAAAAGAAATTTTACTGTTTTATATGGAAATATGATAGAATTATATGGAGATGATTACATTATGAAAAATTATGAAGAAAAAATAAATTACTTTCAAATAGATAACTATGGTACATTTATTTATATAAAAGGAACTTTTTTAAATAAATTGTTAAACTTAGTATCAAAAAAAAAAAAAAAAAGACAAAAGAAAGAAAACAACAAAGATAATACGGAAGATTTATTAAGTATAAAATATATGAAATTTCTAAATAAAAATATGCATAATTATATGAATTATGAAACTATAAATGACGAAATTTTCATATTTATACACAATTGTTTTAAATGCAATATAGGTATTACTGGAGACTTAAAAGGAATGAACTTTTATAATAAAAATTCTTTAATCATAATAAATCCACCCATAATATTGCCTAATAAATGCACCATAGAATTATGGTTATACTTTAACTGTAAAAATGACAAAAAAAAAAGTAAAAATTTTATTTTTTGTGATAAAAAAGGAAATTCTTTGTTTGTTATTGATAGAGATAAAGATACAATTGAGAATATAGAAATACATATAAATGAATGGAATAAGTTGAGTATTTATTATATAAAACATATTCTGAAAAAAAAGACAGATATAAAAAATGATTGTAGTTTTTATATAAATAGTATGAAGACAAAAAAATGGGAAAAAATTAATAAAATATTAAAAAAAAATAAATGGAATTTGTTAAATTTAACTAAATCATCCACTGGTTTAGTTTATTATATTAACGGAAAATATTTAAGTACAATTTCTCATGAAGTTTTAAATCTAGATGAAGAATTTGAGATAAGTATATTTGGGAATTCTTGTTTTGGTAACAATAATATAGGAATTTGTTCATCTTTTAAAATTTTTGAATTTTTAAATAAAGATGAAATAAAAAGAAGATATAAATTTATCAAAAACATAAAATTCAAAGAAATGATAGGAGATAATATAAATATGAACAAAGAAAATGATTTTATAGAAGGAATAGACATTACGAACAGGCAAATGGAGGAAACTTTTTTAATGTATTTTGTACAATCTCGAACACATAGAAATAAAGTTATACCAATTATAAATGATTCAAGTTATAAATTGAAAATTTATCAATTAAAATACTTTACTAAATATAAAAATACGAATTATTTGTATAATAAGATATTAGATGGTAGTAAAAAAAATGATAAAAGGTTTACAGAAATTCACAAAAATTTAGAAGAAAATAAAAAAGAAAGTAAAAAATCAACTAAATATAAAAATGAATATTCTAAAATTATTGAAATTGATGACGAAGAAGAATATGGCTATAATGTTTATTTTAAAAAAATAATTAAAAAAGAACATTTGCCGAAAATATATGGAGTTGATGTATTTTCAGATAACTTAGCTTTTGGATGTAATTTATCAAAATTTTATAATTTAGTTTTATCTCCTACCTTATCAATATATAATGAATTAACGAAACCATTTGGATACACAATATCTGCATGGGTATTTTTACCTATAGTAAAAAATATATCTTTTTCATCTTTGATATGTGGTGAGAATGATATTCATGTTAGTATATTTAGTGATGATTTAATTATCGGATGTATAGAAAATTATAAAAAAAAAGATAAAATTTTTTATCATTCTTCAGGATATAGTATTAAAAATCTGAATAAAGGGTGGTATTACTTAAATGTTGTTGGCACATTAAAAGGCCAATTTTATTTCATTAATGGATGCTTTAAGGGATGTCATAAATTCTGTTCTTTTGATAATATAAAGTATATATTTAATAGTGGATTATATATTAATCCATGTTCGTTTATTTGTTTTTTAAAAGTAGTAAATAAACCCTTATCAATGAACGAAATATTATATGAATATAACAATTCTCCTCTATGTTACAATTTTTCTTATTATTATTATTATTTTTATTTATCATCTTTATTTTCAAATTTAACAAATCAATTAAAATTTGATAGCATAGTTTCGTCAAGTAATACAAATTCATCTGATTATTCAAATAAAATACAATTTGTTCATTTTGATGTAACAATAAATAATAACGTGCATATTTATCCTATTGAGAAAAGTAAAAAATTTTATTATTCCTTATCTCTTACATCTATGAAAAATAGAAAATTGCACTATTTTAACAGCATAAATACACAATATAATAATTTGAATATATATTTACACAACTATATAATATTACCCCAACAGTGGGCTATATTAGCAGTAATTAATTTATCTTTTATAAATGAATCAACTTATCACTGTTTAATAGGAGGAGTAGATGGAAACTCTCATATTGCTATAAATAATAGTGATTTATCTTTAGGTGTTTTAACAAATTTAAAAAATGAAATTTTTTATGAAAAAAAAGCTTCAAATGAGAATGAAAAAAGTTTGAATAAAGATGAAAGTGAAGAGTTTTATTCCAAACAAAGTTCAAGTGAAGAAAATATTTCTCAAAAAAAATTTGCAAAAGACAATGATAATTATGAAAATAGGTACTACAAAAAAAAAAGTATTAATAATTATGTAAAAAATTATAAAGATGATTATCAGAAATTTTATACTTGTGGCTATAATTTTATAAACATTTTAGACAAAAATATTTTTATAGCAACAAGATGCACTAACAATGAGCAAACCTTTTTTGTAAACTCATTAAAAGTAGGGGTGTCACCAGCATGTCTTACTCCTATAGAGTATATTGGTAATTGCTTATCTACTAATAATGAATATATTTCACCCTTTGGTTATTATAAATTTATTAGAATTATTTTTGATTATTTCAGTGATGAACAAATTAGAGAATTTTATTATTCTCTTAAATTATAAAGAATAGATATATATATATATATATATATATATGAATTACAAAATAATATTACAAATTCATGTAAATATATGTAAAAATTAAACATACAAAAAAATTATTTCAACTTGTGTAAGATATAAAATTATGTAAATATATATTTCAAAAAAATCCACCTAAATAAGTTTAAAATAAAAAAAGAGTATTTATTTTATTTTTTTATATAACACATAGAAGTTTAAAGTAATTTTTATCTTTTATTCATGGTGTGATTAAATTTTTAGAATTAAATGTATATGCAATTTTACATAAAAATAGAACTAATAATTATAATATCATTATTCTGTTTCGTCTATATCTGTATCATTGTCAAGATTTTCTTCATATTTTTCATTTTGTAAATTTTTTAATTCGTTTTGAGATCTAAAAAAAAAAAAAAATTATTTACATAGAGCATATATATATATATATTTAAAAAATATACTGTTTTTCTTTCTTTTTTTTGACATACTTTGGTATTTTTTTTAATGATTCTTTCTTTTTAATATCTTCTATATTTTTCCCATTAATTTTTACTTGCGGATATCCAAATTTACTTTTAGCTATTCGTAATTTTAATCCTTTTTCTTCATTTTCATCTTCCTCATCAAATTCTTCGTTAATAATTTTTTTTTTTGCTTCATCTATTTCTTTTTTATTTTTACTTTTATTTTTTTCTTCATTTGACTCTTCATCATTTGATTCTTCTTCATTTGATTCTTCTTTTTCATTGTTTTTTTTTTCATTAATTTCTTCATTATTTTCCTCTTTTTCCTCTTCATAATTAAATTCAGGTAATTTCCCATTAATTTTTGTCATTTTACATAATACTGCATCTGTTATTGAATTTATCCAAAAATTCCTGAGAACTTTATTGCCTAAACATAATATTGTAGAATCAACCTCTTTCATTTGTCTTATGTTAATACATTTATTTGATAAAGTTTCTATTGGTAAAATTATTTCATTAATATTAATCTCTTTTTCTTTTATATTTCCCATTTTTAAGATTAGTTTATTTGAAATTATAGATCCTTCAATAATTAATTTTGCTTCTTTATCTGATTTATCTAAAATTAATCCTGCTAGATGTTTAAGTGATTTTCCACAAAATTTTCTATCAGTAAGTTCATTTAATTCATTTAAATTATTATATTCATTTGTTGGCATTTTTAAAAGTTCTTTTGTCCATTTATCAACATTTTTATTAAAAAATATTGAGTTACATCTACTTAAGCAAACTTTCACTAAACAAACACAAAAAAACAATTTTATTGAATTCATTTTCACTAATACAATATATATATATAAAAAAAAAGAACAAAAATAAAAAAAAAAAAAAAAAAAAAAAAAAAAAAAAAAAAAGAGATAAAGAGATAAAGAGAATACACAAAAAAAAAAAAAAAAAAATTGTATGTATTTTCCTAAATATATTATATGAATTGAAGTATGAGGATAAAATTAATGAACAATAGCTATATTTAAAATATTTTATACAGATATAATTTTTCTCTTAATTTACAATAATGTAATATTAATAATAAAATAGAAGAAGAAAATATTATGTATCTACACTACTTTAGAAAAAAAAAAAAATACAAAAACACAACTGACTTTTTCAAAAAACAGTAAATAAGTGGAGAAAATTTAAAAAAAAAAAAAGAGCAGTAATTTTTTTCTTTAATACAATTAACATTCTTAAATATATTAGAAACTATAAAGTTGTATGATGATATAAATTAAATTAATAATTTTTTGCGAGAAAAACTAAAAAATATTTTACAACAATTATTACATTCAGACTGATAAATTAATGTTCTTTTTGTTTAATAATTTATGATAAAAAATTTGTTATAAATGAAAATTAGAATTCACTATTAATACTTAATAAATATATGGTTTATGTACTTATGTTAAAAAAAAAAAAAAAAAAAAAAAATTGTAAAGAAATTATATTTTTGACAAAACTCATATAACATTTTAATATTTCCTACAATAGAAATTTATTTTTTTAAACTAGATTCAATAATGTAAAAGAACCATTATTAAATATTTTTATATTAGTTTTTTTTTTTTTTTTTTAATTTGATTTCATACTTTATGATTCTTCTCTAATAATGTTTCTTTTATTTAGATATTCCTATTAAAAAGAAGACTAATAAAAAAAAAAAAAAAAATACAGGTTTTCTGTTTTTATTTCTTTTTTATAATTTTCTCTATGTTAGATTATCACAGAAAAAAATATACATTTTCTCTTACGTAAATGTTTATGAATATTTACTAAAAATATCAGAAAAGATAAAATAGTATCAAAATAGTATTCAAATAGTATTCAATTTTTATGAAAAGTTATTGAAAAGTTGTCTAAATTTAACATTTACTGAGTTCTTAAATTATAACTTTAATTGTTTGTGTAGTTAAAAATTACAAAAAATGTTTTTCATTTATTACATCTACTAAATGAATTAAATGTTTTTTTTTCTCATGTAAAAATAAATAATACTTTAAGTTGTAAACCACATTTAAAATTCATCTTAAAATATAAATTGTAATTTTTAATTTTTTTTCTATATTTTCTTTGCATATATTTATTCTCTGTTAATAAAAAAAAAAAAAAAAAAAAAAAAAAAAAATATTGCTTATTATTCCTCAATAGTTCATTTATAAATTCCAAAAAAAAATATATTTTTTAATAATTTTCACAAAAATATAAATAAAACAAAGAGGCCAGAAAAAGTTTATAAATTTTTTTTTTTTTTTATGGAATTAATATTTACAATTGTATTACATTAATTTTTTTTTTCTATTAAAATATTTAAAGAAAAATACCATGTATGTAAAAACACATTTTTTTAAGGTATGCATAGTTTTAGATAATAAATTTATTTTTTTAAGATTAAACTTTTTATTTTTTTTTCTTATAAGTTTGTGAAAATTTTTGATATTATATAATTTTTCTATTTTTGAAATTTAAAATTTATTTTTTTTTTTAATTAATTTTAAATGTATATTTATTTGAAATATATATATATATAATTCAGATCTATATACATTTTTTTCTCTTTACACATAAAAAAAAAATTTAATTAGTATTATAATTAGTTCATTTATTTTATATAGGATTTTTAAGTATAAATAAGATGCATTTTTATTGGATTTTTCTTCTAATTTTTAATATTTTACATTTTAAATGTTATTCTATTTTAATGGTTATTTCTTTGCTTTTTTTTTAAAAAAGTGAAATTGGAAATAAATTTGATATAACCATATAAAACAAGTAAAATAGGAAAAGTTAGAAGTAATATATAAAAAGAAGGAGAGAGAGAAAAAAAAAAAAAAAAAAAAAAAAAAAAGATAAAATAAAATAAATGAATATAAAATGCTTGGATTAACTGGATCATGTTTATCAAAAGAATTTTTTGATTTGGCCAAATCTATAGGAGAAACTCGTTCTAAACAGGTAAATAATTTTTTAATTTAATCTTATTTTCACATATTAATTTAGAACTATTTTTATTTATTTTATTATCATTTTTTTTTTTTTTTTTAAGGAGGAAGATAGGATTATTTGTAATGAAATTGTTTTATTAAAATCAAGATTTTCTGAACCTAATGCATCAGTCGTATGTTTATAAAAGAAAAAAAAAAATATGTATTTTAAAATATTATTTATTTTTTTATAAATATATATTCATTTAATAATTTTTAATATTTTCTATTTATGAAACTAACAAGTGATATTATTATTTACATATAAATTTAATTATTATGTTATGAATATAAAGTTTTGTTATTATATTTAGTTGTTTTTATTTTTTATTTTTTTTTAAGAAACAAATAAAAGAATATTTAATAAGAGCTATTTATATTGAAATGCTAGGTCATGATGCTTCATTTGCTTATATTCATGCAGTTAAATTAGCTCATGAAAAAAATATTTTATGTAAAAGAACTGGTTATTTGGCTTGTAATTTATTTTTAAATAAAGATCATGAATTAATGTTGTTACTAATTAACACAATTCAAAAAGATTTAAAAAGTGATAATCATTTAGAAATATGGGCAGCCTTAAATTGTGTGTGCAAATTATTGAATAATGAAATGATACCAGCTATTTTTCCAATTATTAAAAATTTATTAAATCATAAAAATGAATTAATAAGAAAAAAGGTATGTATGTTATTACATAGAATATATTTAATAGATCCTTCATTAATTAAAGAAATAGACAATTTTTTAAAAAAATTATTGTGTGATATAGATCCTTCAGTTATGGGTGCTTCGTTAAATTTAATTTCATGCATTGCTAAAAATGATATAACTTATTGTATTAAATTGGTACCTTATTTAGTATCTATACTAAAACAAATTTGTGAAAATAAATTACCAAGAGATTATGATTATCACAGAATACCAGCACCATGGATACAAATAAAAATTTTGTCAATTTTTCGAATTTTAGGATATTCAAATAAAAAATTATCTGAACAGATGTATGAAGTATTGCAAAAAACTATGCAGAGAGCTGATTTTGGTATAAATGTTGGTTATGCCATTATTTATGAATGTGTTAAAACTATTGCAACAATATATCCATCCCATCATTTATTAGAATTAGCTTCTTTATCTATTTCTAGATTTATTTCATCAGATAATCATAATCTCAAGTATGTAGGAGTAACAGGATTAGCTTTAATAGTAAAAATTAATCCTGCTTATGCAAGCGAGCATCAATTAGCCGTAGTAGATTGTTTAGAAGATAAAGATGAAACACTTAAAATGAAAACGTTAGATTTACTATATCAGATGACTAACCCTTTAAATGTTCAAGTTATAGTTGAAAAGTTATTATTTTATATGAATAATTCTCTTGATATTCATTTTAAACATGATTTAGCTTGTAAAATTATTCAATTAATCGAAAGATATACACCAGATGATATATGGTTTTTAAATAAAATTAATTCTGTGTTTTTATCGGTAGGTGAATTACTAGACGAAAATTATTCATATTCTATTATTAAATTATTAAAAGATAGTCCTATTTGTTTGGATTCAGATTCAAGTGATGAAATTATTAGAAATGAAGAAAATAACGAAAATAATAATTCTAACAATGTGAATATTGAAAATTTGAATATTGAAGATATAGAAAATAAAAATATTATTAATAAGGAAAATTCTTTATATGATATGGATAATAATAATAATAATAATAATAGTAATCCAAATGAAGAATTAAATAATATAAATAATGATATTAATGCTATTGATCATATTAAAAGAGATCATATAAATGACTTAAAGAATGATTCTATAAATAAAGAGGGTAATGATTTGAATAATGAGAAAAATTATGTAGATAATAAAAATAATAAGAATATAGCAAATAACAATAAAAGTTATCAATCTAAAGAAAGCAATAACAATATACAAATAAACGAATCAAAAGAAAAAAAAAAAATTAATGATGATATAGACAATTTAAGAAAATATGCTGTTAATACATATATAAGATTATTAGAAAATAATGAAAATATTCCATTTATTTTAATGCAAATTATATGTTGGGTATTAGGTGAATATAGTTATTTATGCGATTTAGAAAATTATACTGCAGAAGATATTATAGATTTATTGTGTGAATGTTTAGAAAAAAATTTTAACAATGCAAATAGAGTAAAATCATGTATAATAACAGCTATTTTTAAATTATGTTGTTTTAATAATATAACTGATCATGTAGTAGCAAAAAAATTAATTGAAAAATATAAAAATAGTCAACTAACTGATATGCAACAAAGATGTTATGAATATGATTTAATTTTAAAAAATCCTACTTTAATGAAAAATTTATTTTCTGTTGACAGTAAGCAAAATATAGTTGTCGATGAAAATTTATCTTTTTTAAATCCATTCATAGAAAAACATTTGAGAAATGGAGGAAAATCTTATATAGAAAAAGATTTAAGAAAAAATGCAATACAATTTGAAACTTCAAAAAATAATATTCCTGTACTAAATTTTACTCCATATGAAGTTCCAGTTAATAATAACTTTCATTTAGACAATTTGAATGTTTGTTGTAACAATTCTACATATGAAAAAAATTATAACTATGATCCATCTCTTAATATGTCTAAAACTGATAGTATTGATAATATAAAGGAAAAAGAAAAACCTTTTAAACTTAATGTAATAGGACCAAAAAAATGGAGAAAAAAGGTAGTTAAAAATGAAGAAAAAAAAAATAACAAAAAAAAAAAAAAAAAAAAAAAAAAAAAAAAAAAAAAAAAAAAAAATGAATGAAAATAACTATAATAAATATAATAATATTATGGAATCAAAAAAAAGATTAGAAGATATTGAAGTAGAAAATAAATTACCAAAAAATATTAATACAGAAGAAGACGAAGATAATTATTACGATGAAGAAAATGAAGATGAAGAAGAAATTGAAGAAGAAGAAGAAGAGGAAGAAGAAGAAGAAGGAGAGGAAGATGAAGATGATGATGATGATACAAAAGAAGGAATTGAAAATGAAAAAAAAATGGATAGTATAGAAAATTATAAAAATTACGAAAGATTTGATGAAAAAAATATTGATCATTTAAAAGAATATGAATATCAAATTGATAATCATGAGAGTAATATATATGAGTATAAAAACTCATTTAAATTAAAAAAAGATTATACAAATAATAAAGCACATAACCATGAATTAACAGAAAAGGAAAAGATGGCAGCTGCTTTATTTAATGGCTTGATATCGAATAATTCATCAGAAAGTAATACAAGAAACTATTTTGTTTCCAGTTTTTCAGCTAAAAAAGGTATATCAGGATTATCAAATAGAAATTATTTTAAAAATAAATGTGATAATAAGGATGGTGAAAACAAAACAAATTCTACGAAAAGAATTTTAGAAAATATTCAAAGTAAAGGTGATGCAATAAATCAAAATGAACAAATGAAAAATTCTTCTAATATAATGGATAATAATATAAATAAATCAGAAGACATTAAAAGGAAACCCTTTTCTTTTGATATGTTAGATTTAAATGAATCATCACAAAACATGGATGAAACATATGAAAGTAAAACAGATATTGAAGAGGTAATTTATAATTTATTATTGTTATTTTCTTATTTTAAAATAAAAGAAAAAAAAAAAAAAAAATAGTTATAACACATCTATAAATATACATTTATTTTTATTAAAATGTTAATATATATATATTGAGATACAAAAATGTTTTATTTTAATTATATATTGCATCATATTATACATTAATCTTTTTTTTTTTTTTTTTTTTTTTTTTTTTTTGAATGATTTATAAAAAATAAATACACTACTCTTATTTATATACTCCGTTAATTATCTTTAATTTGTCTGAAATATTTTATTATTTTGATTATTTTTTTTTTTTGTTGACACTATTATTACTGTATTTTGTATTACTTTATATATATATATATATTATACTTTACTTTCTTTTAATTTATTTTAGGATAAAAATCAATGGGATAATATTAGTATTCAGAAAAGAGCTGTTTTTTTAAACACTTCGAAATTAAATATATTTCAAGCTATTAAAAAAATTGAGGTAAATCATTGTAAATTTTCTTTAAAGTTTTTATACATTTTATTTTAAATAAGTTTATTTGAATTTTATATATTTTCATTTTTATTTTATTTTTTCTTTTAATAGAATAATTTGGATGCTAAAATAGTAGAAGTGTCTGAAAAAGATGCATTTACTTCATGCATATATCGCAAATGTAAAGTTTTAATAAAAATAAAATTAGATAATAATAAATTAATTTTTTTAGTAAAATCCGCTGAAAACACGTAAGAAGCAGTAAAAAAAATATAAAATATCTTTATTAATATATATATATATATATAAAAACTTTTTCATAAAAATATATATTAATATATACATATTATTTTTACCATTTACTATTTTTTTTTTTTTTTTTTCTTTTAGCATAATTGACAGCATTCTTGACAATCTAAGAAGTTTGTTTTATACCTAATTTTTTATTTTATTTTTTATCTATATTAAGAAAACTTATAAAAATTTTGTTTTTTTTTTTTTTTTTTTTTTTTTTTTAAAATTTTAAAAAAAAAAAAAA